AGGTTTGGGATAGTGCAGGTAAGAATAACCTAGTTCTGCTTCAGTGAACAGAAAATACTTGTGTGAAATTTCTCCAAATGCATAACCCATATAAGCAATCAGACCAGTGCAGGAAAATAGCATCCAGTAAAGAAAAAGCTTTTTCCTCCTTGAATTTGCTGGGATCTTATGAAAGACTAGCCATCCCTTGCCACATGTTGCTGTGGCCCAGTCTGTGTATGTGTTTTGTGTGTGTGTTTTTATGTGTGTATGTGTATGTATATATTTGTTTATATGTGTATATATGTGGTTTTGCACATGCATTGTAAATGTTTTGGATTTTTAAGTCTCTTCCACTGTGTTTTTCAATGTTTTTATGAGTGAATACTCATTGGCCTGATAGGTGTCTTGTGTCCAAATTTGGTGTCAATTCGTCCTGTGGTTCTTGAGTTATGTTAATCCCACAAACAAACATTACATTTTTTATTTAGATTTTAAAATATTTTATAACACTGAGCTATTTGGATTTCCCAGAGCAGAAATGTCATGTCCATGTTTAAATAACTTTTTTTAAAATAATAATAATTTTTTTTATACAGATAACAAAACAATACAATAGGAACCTTAGCCATTTAAAAGATAACATAAAAACTGTTTACAATTTTTATGGCTAGGATACAGGTTCCAGTTGTGCTTCCCTTTACCGTATATCTTGATTGTTAACCCCTCTAAACCCCCCATCCCACCCTCCCACCTATACCACCCTCTTCCCACCTCCCTCCCACCCCCATCTGGGTTACTTGAATCAATACATTGATTTGATTGTCTGGAAGGCCCGATTTAAAGTTCTGTACCTGTCTTTTCCTTCCGTTTTGTTGATTAAGTCCATGTTTAAATAACTAACAAACAAGCTCCTTTTTCCAGTTGAAGTCAATGAAAAAGTTTTTAAATTACTGCTTTATCTTTTTCACAGATGCTGACATCCCAGTGCATGTGGTGATATGGGACAGAAAAGGGCAGGTGCTTCTAGAGTGTGTCACAGTCTGTGTCTCTTGACATTATGGAAGGGATATGGTTTCATTCATGGGTCACTGTAGCCGTCACTAGACCGAACTCCACTTGGCTTGTGTCCCAATCTCATACCTTTCAGTTGAACTTTGCAGCCTATGAAATCGTAGTGCATGAACACTGTGGGTGCCAAAAGCAATGAGATATGGCTCATTTGCCTTGCTTGGCTGAAAAGTATGGGCCAAGGGGGCATGCTTTTTAGAGATAACTACGTCAATTACAGAGTAATTTGGCTGACATCATTGACCACTGCAGATCAGTAGAAAAAGCCCTGTCAAGTGTTTCCAAATGGACATCGTACTGAATGGCCTCAAGTCTAAGTCTGCTTCAAAATAACAGAAGAGCAATCAGAATGTTCTTGCCAAATCAGAACACTTGAAGGATATGAATTTGATGCTTTAAGCATTATGTTCTGAAATCTACCTGCTTCAAGGAGGAACGAGTGCATTTCAACAATTTTGCCTGCAAGCAAATTTGAGGGAAACACATACAATGACTGACTGACTGATTCAAAAGATATTTCATAGATTATTCAAGGAAGACCATCCTTACAATGCAGTTTATCAAACTTACAAAACCATGACTATATCATTAGTGGTGAAGTTTGACCTGCAGATTCTCACCTGGACAGTTTCTACTGCCAGGATTTGGTGGGGAACCAAATATGACAGCATATCCAGGTAGCTAATTGTTAAGTCAGAATGAGAAGGCAAGTTTGAGTGCCTGATGCAACCATGAGATAATGCCACAGCACCAGGGATGATACAACACCATGTGATTAGCTGGGTCTTGGATAAAAGTAGAACAGCCAACATGTTGTGTGGTTGGTTTGTGTCACAGAATCATAGAGTTGGAAGAGGCCTCGTGGGCCATCCAGTCCAACCCCCTGCCAAGAAGCAGGAAGATTGCGTTCAAAGCATCATTGCTGATTGTTCATGGAGAGATTTCTATGTAGGAGAATTTGTTGAGAGTGAGAGAGAACATGATTTTTGTACAGAGCTGTTTGCATTTTTATGCTATTGAACTTCAAGATAAAAGCCTTTCTGATCTTGGAACAAAACCTCCGCTATCTGCCTGTGTGTGCTGTTCTATCAAGTACCTCCAGATTACTTGGAGACCTACAGCCAGAGGTGGCCCTAGGTAATTTTCAATGGTAAGCAAACAGTATTTTGGCACCCCCCCTCCCCTCCCCAACCAATAACTGATATATATTTTCTGTTCGTCGTGGGAGTTCTGTGTGCCATATTTGGTTCAACTCCATCATTGGTGGAGTTCAGAATGCTCTTTGATTGTAGGTGAACTATACATCCCAGTAACTACAACTCGCATATGTCAAGGTCTATTTTCCCCCAAGAGCACTTAAGAGCGCCCCTGGGCAAAATCAACTATACTGCAAATGCTTATTTTGTGTAATGGGTTGAGCCACCTCTGCCTACAGCTAGCTTTCCTTGCTCATAGAAAAAGTAGAAAATATCCCAATATCTATAACATAACCAGAGAAAGTCCAAGGCTGTATTGATCTAACACAAGTTAGGTAATTCTATCTCCACCCAGATCTTTGGTAAAACTGATAGATTTTGTCAATTCGAGGTCAAGCTGTCTCGAAATACTTTAAATTGTTGTAACTCACTGATTCTGGGGAAGTATAATTATCAGGTTGGTTTACTGATAAGTGGGAAACCTGGCTTGGAAAAGTAACAGTGAGAATTTCTCCCTAATTATTCCATGGAGAAAAACAAATTTATTTTATCTTTCCATTCTTACTGGGCCCATTTTTGGAATACTGAAGATCCTCGTTCATTTGGGGAGTCAAGTGCATACACCAGGAAGTTACTACATTCTTTATTTGGAATTTTCAACATAAAGATCATGTACCGATAACACTTTGCAAATGCTGTCATTAGCCTCCATTCAGCATGTATTTATATTTGATGCACTGCTGCCAAGGACACAAGGTTTCTTACAGACATGTATACTCAGTAATGTGCATGTATATGTTCTGAAAGTATGCCCAGGAACATGCCACATGCCCTAGGGGAATCCACATCTGTATTGGAGCCCCTGGTCACCCTTGTGCCAGTAGGATTGCTGACCGACAGGTTAGTGGTTCGAATCTGGTGAGAGTGCAGATGAGCTCCCTCTGTCAGCTCCAGCTCTCCACGCGGGGACATGAGAGAAGGACAAGGATGGTAAACAACAAACATCCAAGCGTCCCTTGGGCAACATCCTTGCAGACGCCCAATTCTCTCACATCAGAAGCGACTTGCAGTTTCCCAAGTCACTCCTGACATTGGAAAAAAAAAACATATGTCTCCACTGGTGCACCTATTTATGAAAGCATATTGTGACTGGACAGGGAAAACACAAGAGCACTTTGGAACAAGCCTTTTATTAAAATATTCTGTTTTCAACCTGCTTCCATTATACATATCTACACAAACACATATTTTAAAGCAACCATTTTGAATATAGTAACACAGGGAATCCACACACTCATTCAATATATGTACACATGCACAATGACAACTCAGACATCATTAATGGCTAGTCCTTTTAAATGTATAAAGGCAATCCAGCCATGCCTTGGCTTCTGAAAGTAGGGTTTTTATCACCAAACAATAGGAAAGCCAGTAGGATGGGGATTTATGATGTTTTTTCATAGGTATACAATGCCGAAACTTTTATTCTTATTCACGGTTAGCTTAAACAGATATTCAGCAGATAGTACCAGCGCTTGCAGTCTCCAATAAACTGGGTCTCCCATAAGATAGTGAACACTGCATTTTTTACACTATTCCTAAGGCAAATCTGCAATACAACGTATAAACAAGTGCACTTCAGTACTTTTACAAGTCAGTTATAATGTGTGAAGCTGTCAAAGAACTTCACATATCCAAGCAGGGAAATTGACATTCAACAATCATTTCCCTTTGAGGAAGCATTGATGCTTCTGAACCCTGTGGACACCAAAGGGAAGTTACTTTCTGTCATACATTCAAGAGGATAACAGTGTGCCAAAACCAGGTGGGACAAAAAAATATATATAAACATCACCCCTGCACTTTTCCAAACGCCAGCATACATTCAAGGCTTACTAATTCAAAATTTTGTTTTTATAAGTAGTTTTTTTAAATGTTGATTCTTTTCCTGTCCTCTATTTGAAGAACCAGAGTCCACATTATCTTCAAATTATTCAGTTGTTTCGTCTGGATTCTCGAACCATTTAGTTTAAAACAAGTCTTTCACTTCAAGAGATGTCATTCACTTCTTTAAAAATATGGATACATTGTGCAAAAATGGAGGAAGTTCTTCTGGCACATGATGGAACAAAATTGAATATAATCTAACAGAAGTAAAATTCTGAATTTAGCTTCTAGGGAATTAAGTTACCAAGAAATACCCTCTCTATGTTTGTTTGTTTTTTTTTGGAGAATTAAGAATTAAATATAAACAAGTTATTTACGAAATGCTGCTGTTAGTTTAAGTGATGACTATCAGTTAACTGGTAAAACTTTCAGTGAAAAGTTTTAGTTAGGGCAAGAACTTGGGAGGTTACAACTACCAGAATTTCCCAGTCAAAATTGCCAGTATTTTTTCAAGTTCTACTTAGAAAAATACTTTTTTCCAAACTCTAGTTAAGCCTACACCAAATTTTCAACTATTTCAGATACTGAGCCACAAGTACAATGTGGCTATCTGTGAAACCCTTTCCAATTATTGTCCCATACCATTAGTATCCTCCATTCTCAATCATTCCACAAAGTAATTTCAAACTATTGTGGATTATACAATGACCTTGATGTGTGATGTTACATAACCGATAGATCTGAGTATTCAACAAGATCACCAGAGTAAATGAAGGTAGCTGAAAGGGGGTGAGGCCAATGCCTCTGGGCTGGTCAAAGTTATCCTCATTATGTGCCGAAGGAGTGCACTACTTGACACAGTAGATATGTATATACACTTTAAACAAATTATTTATTTATAAACAGGAAAAGAGAAGATATTATACAAACATGTAAAATACACACTAAGTACAACAGAGCAATACCAGGGCACTTTCTGTTTGCAAAGCACTTCATGTCTTTTGTTAGAAGAAGGTAGACATCCAAAGGATGTTCCATGAGCAAAGCTGGAATGATTTACATGAAGGTCTGGCCCAAGAAGCCCAAGCATGAAACAGCAGCAGTCCACAGTTCACATTGAGGTCAGGATTCACTTGAAAGGCTCAGCACTGTTACACCTGGGAGCAACATAACTTGATATATTAATTAATTTTAGTTAGCTTTTATACTCCAGGGAAATGTGTGAAATATTTGTATGAGAATGGAAAAGCAAATGCTTCCCATATGGTGGCTCAGAAGTCATTATAATCTGCCTATGGCATCTAGAGAAATGCAATGGTCCCCACAGCCTAACACATTATGTTCCTAACCTGTGGAAATGTTCCTAACATTTAAACTATTGATGTCTTACCAAGAAATTCCAGTTACAGATTGTTCCCTTCATACCTAAGTTCCAATATTGAGAATCCCCAGGAAAAAAAATGGTACTAGATTTGTTGGCACTTTTTGCTTCCCTCCAAAATTTAACTTCAGGTGAAAATTAGAAGCAACTTTGAATAAACTCCCTTGTTCCCTTCCAACACCAGTTGATAAGAAATGCAATTGGGTAACCTCACTGTATTTGCCAATTCAAAAGCAAAATGAAAGTTACTATTGTTTGAAAACTTAAGAGTTTAACTATTCCACTCCTGTCCCTTTCCTTCTGCCCCATCAATAACTATTCCAGTTAACACTGTGCATCTAGGACAGTTTTCTTCTATACCCCTGACATCAGAGTGAAAATATATAACCAAACTGAACAAAATTGATTTTAACACTTTACAGTATGTTTTGAAAGTGAACTATTTTGAAGTATTAGCATGTTTCAAGAAGGCTAAATCAACACAAATAATTTACATTGTATTCAATCTACTAAAGGCACACTATCTGGTCCCACGTATTAGTGTTGTGCACACAGAGGTCTCAGGTGCCATAATTAGTCCAAAGATGAAGATACTTCTCTTCAATGTATTCTACCTCAAAACCAGTGCTAGGCTAGCCAAAAACTTGAGAGATTAACTGTGACCAGAAATGGATTGTCACTGATGCAAACTTTGAATCTTCCAGTTGTTAGATTCCCTCTACTTTAAAATCATGGAAGAAAACACTTGTGATAGTAAGAGAGAGAGAAATGGCACCTGTCTTCTCTTTCAGCATGTACTTTGCAATACTGTGAAAACTGAGGGCCTTCTCCCCTCTGCAATATGTTCTCCGTTCCCAATAAAGTACCAAGTGTTGTATAAAACTTTTGGTACAAAATCCCTACAAAGATGCTAGCCAACATTAGCTCTGCAAAAACAGGAGGGAATGGAAATCACTGGCTTAAAGTAAGCAGTAGCAAACATGTTTGTTAAGAGGCAACAATTAACAGCAGTTTGCGCCCCAGACAGAAATCACTAGCTGCAGGAAAAGAGATGGACAAGATAGTTACATCGATCTACGTATCTCCTTTTTGTTTGGCAAGGACCTAGAGCACATCACAATCAGTACTTTCCTACAGAAAGCCTCATCATGCCCATCGTCCACTTGAGGCAAAGCTTCGGCTGAATGAGAAGCTGATCTCAGAATTTTTGTATTTGCCCCATGCTCCAAATGGCACAACGATAGCGGTACTGTTATCCTCTGTTCCATACTGAATGGCCTGGGGAAAAGATTACAAAAGAAAGAGAAGTTTAGCCATTAAACATCATCATTTCAACCAAGGCTGAGTAACTATAGAACATTCAAGGGTTCATTTTCGACCTCTCAGACTCTCTGGGAGCAAGTATCACTTAATCTTCTGGTACCAAATACAGTAGAGTCTCACTCATCCAACCTTCACTCATCCAACGTTCTATATTATCCAACGTTCTATATTATCTTCCTCCCGCCCAGATCCACAGCTGTTTCAATACATTGTGATGTTTTGGTGCTAAATTCGTAAATACAGTAATTCCTACACAATGTTACGGTGTATTGAACTGCTTTTTCTATCAATTTGTTGTAAAACATGATGTTTTGGGGCTTAATTTGTAAAATAACATAATTTGATGTTATTATAAATTTTTATTATTAATTTGAGGTTATTATTGATGTTTAATGGGCTTTTCCTTAATCCCTCCTTATTATACAACTTTTTTAATTATCCAATGTTCTGCCAGCCCGTTTATGTTGGATAAGTGAGAGTCTACTATATGATAGGAAGTACTGGCTGCATTAATATCTATTTTCCGATTGGGAACCACTGCTTTAGAAATACTATCCCCACAAGCATTGAGGAAACTTGTTTAGTCAGATGTCACTAGTTGCATCCATTTAAAGTAGGATGTTCAAGCAGGGTCAACAAAGGATGCAAGTGGAGTTGGCTGGCTTTGCCCAATATTGGCCTATGGCAAATTGTTTTAGTCAAGCCTACCTGTTCAGTTACCACATGAGCTGCTTCAGAGGGATCATGACACTGGTTAACAAAGTCACAGATCTCTTGGCTGTTCACCATGAAGTTGATGCCGTCTGTTGTAAGGACCAAGAAGCTGTCACTCGCATGGTGCAACTGAAATGAAACAAAAATATACATGAAATCCAGATTGATGTGGTGGAGCGGAAATTCACATTTTCATCAAAAAAGAAATGTATTTATATTTTCTGTGTTTCAAATATTATTTAACTTGTAGATGTATTTTAACATTCAAATCCTCTTCTCCAATCTTAGTTAACAAGACAAATCTTGGAACAGGGATTCTAATAGGAAATACTTTTGCAGGCTAGTACTAATGCAATCTATGCAGTCTTTGCTTCAATGTCAACTTCACTCAAGTGTGAGAAGGAACATAGTAGGATGGAAGTACAAAAGGGATACGCATAGCCACTCACCTGAATCCGTTTAGTCTCTGGCTCTGCTATCACACCATAGTTCTTAAGGTCCAAGTCTCCTATGCTGCGGGTCATTGCCAGCCTGCCATTCACATGAGGCTGGCCCAAGCTGTTCCAGGCTACAAAACCACCACATTTTTTGATTCTTCACCCAACAAAAATAAGAAGGAAAAGTGTTAGTGTTTTATCAAGGGCCTTGGCCTTTGTAAGCCGCACCGAGTCCTTTGGGAGATGTTCGCGGGGTACAAATAAAGTTAATAATAAATAATAATAATTAGTGACTACACCCATATATGTTTTCCTTTTGCAGTCAATTCAACAAACACATAATTTATTTATTTTTGTTGTGTCAGGAGCAACCGCTCCTGTTGTGAGAGAATTGGCCGTCTGCAAGGACGTTGCCCAGGGGACGCCTGGATGATTTTTGATGTTTTATCATCCTTGTGGGAGGCTTCTCTCATGTCCCCGCATGAGGAGCTGGAGCCAATAGAGGGAGCTCATCCGCCTCTCCCCCGATTCGAACCTGCGACCTGTCGGTCTTCAGTCCTGCCGGCACAGTGCTTTAACCCACTGCGCCACCGGGGGCTCCTAACAAACAGATATATCAGCCTTCCATTGTCATGACTATTTCCAATCAATTAATTGCCAAACAACCAGCTTGATCATGTGAGATGACTACTGCCAACAGCCTGTATTTATATTGGCTGTTTGCAAAGCAAGGTTCTCATCAGAAGAACTGCAAAGCAGCTGAACACCTGCAAACTGCTATTTCAAAAGATTAAGTGTCCTCAGAGTCATCTGATTATTTTCAACACAGGCCTGTTAACATAATGTTCTTGCGCCATACTGTCAGATCACCATCACAGGCTCTGGAACATTACATGTATACATCTGTGCCAAGAAGGATTCTATCAATATTACGGTCCTCCTTCATGTTTCAGATAAATATCAGCAGGTCTAAAGGGACACTGAGTTAAGGCTGCAATGCCAAACTACCTCCCTAATACTGTCTATCAACATCTGAAAATGTTTATCTCCAGGCAGTGATGGAGCACCAGGTTAGATTTAGAGTTGAAAAACAGATAACTTAAAATGTCCCAGTATAACAGATTCAACTTTGCTGGACACCGGACCATACATACACTGTAAATGGATAGGAGAAGCCATAATTATTTCTTCTCGCACTGGAATGTAAAGGTCTATCCACTGTCCTGTAGCCTGAAAGCTAATAATCCTAATCATGATTGACCTAGGATTTGAATTCTGGCCTTGCAGTAGTAATAATAATCATAATAATAGTAATATCAAACTTTATTTATATTCCACCCTATCTCCCTTGGGAGATTCAGGGGAGATTCCAGCAAAAAAAGGACAAACATTCAATGCTTCAATGAAAATAAGTACAAATATTATAGTCCAGAATAACCCCACATAAAAGACATTTGAACATAACAACTATAGCTTAAATAAAACGTAATCAAAAATTATAACTAACATAAAACATCCGAATTAATTTACAAAAGCACAATTCATCATGTTCATAATTAAAAGAAGGCCCCCAATTACATATTTTGATGGTGTACCTTTCTTTCTCATCCTTCCTTTCAGGTGTATGATCAATGGTCAACTTCGTGGCTTTTCCCTTGCGACATAAAAGTGCACGGCTATCGCCAACACTAGCCACAACTAGCTCGATCCCATCGCGCAGCAGAGCCACAGTTGCTGTGGTCCCAGCAGTCAGCAAGGTAGCTACAAATATCACATAAGATGAACTGTCAAAGTCTGGCTGTCATTCTGCTTGCAATATTTAAACGATGCCTATTACATTATGATAGGTAATAAGGTATAAACTAAAGATATAAAGACAGAAAACAGACAGACAGACATGCACAGAAAGGAGGAGAGGATTTTTTTTTTTACAACATGGCTCCATGTAAGGGCATCTGACTACAACTCTGGAGATTAAGGGCCAAATCTCTGCTCGGCTATGGAAACTATTTGACAAGTAACACTTTCTCAGCCTCAAAAGGAGGCAAAGACAAACCCTTCCTGGAACAAATCGTAGCAAGAAAACCCCATGATGGGTTTACCATAGGGCTGCCACAAGTCAGAAGCAACCTGAAGGCACACAACAACAACAACAACAACAACAACAACAACAACAACAACAACAACAACAACAACAACATACACTAAGTGCCAGATCACTTAGTGGGAAGATTACATCAATATTTGAATAAGTCCACTGTCCTTTTAGTACTTACTTCAAAATATTTTCCCTCAAAGATATAAACCCAAAGTATGAGCATCTTTGCACTATAATCAATAAAAGGTGACTCTGGCTAAAAATTTGGTTAGTTTATATATTTTTCCCCAAAATTCTATTAGAATTGTTGTTTCTTAATTTTTCAGGTAAAAATCTTATGAATGTTTACTATGTAAAAATCCTACTAGGACTCAGAAGTAATGTGCATAAGAATATAATCTTCCTGTGTTTCTCAGAATATCCAGTGAATCAGAAGGGATTTAGTTCTAGGGAAGCAACTGCAGGCCTAGACTTTTTAAAAAGTCCACTAATTGACAGAAGAAAGGCCTATCAATGAAGGGAAGACTTAGTAGGGAACCGACTTGCACTTCTATTTTCAATCCCAGGATGACAATACTCAATAGCTCATTGTCCTAATAAAATGCAAATGTACTATATGTGGGTTAAATGCATGAAGCCTTGTTGTGGAGTGAAAACGTATAATAGACAGGAAAGAAGGAACAAGCTATAATAAGCCACATTATCATGGTTTAAAACAGGTATTCATACTGCACAGAGCATATTAATGGCTCTTTAAAGTATTTATTTCTAAAGGTTGACTATAAATATCAGAACAATGAACTTTCTCCCCTTATTGCTATTTTTGTATATTCAGAAAATTATTGCAAGACTATTGTTACTATTTTATAATATACACATCCTAACACTATTTACACTTATTTGGAAGTGTATTTTACTACATTGAGAAGGATATTGAGCATTCATAGAATTACAGCCCCAGTTTAATTATCATGATATACAGAAGATCAGAGTACTATATACATGACAATTTCTTTTAAGTGGAGGAGAGGCAAAGAATAACCATAAATTTGAGGTTGTACAACTTGAGCCAGTATTATTACCACAAGTATAATACCTGTTTTAACCAGCTAGCAAAAAACACACACCCATTTGTTGAGAAAGTTTTTGCCTTCTCCCGTATCCCTTCTAAAAATTACTGTCAAATCTTGACACAACCTCTACTCCCACCCAAGTTCATCCTTGTTTTTGGAACTGCAACATCTTCCAGAACAGAGTACAGTGGTTGGTGAACTTATTGAATTAATGGATTTCTTTGTCAAGCTTTGTCATCTTTGTCAAGCCCAAGAAGTGGTCTTTTCAGACATTATTGGGGAGAGGGGATTTCTATGTGCTCCTAACGTGTGAAGACTTTTTAATCAATGGCTTATCTTTGGGTGCTGGGATGGGATCTCCTATCTTTTTCTACAAAGTAGTTATTCTGGTGGCGCAGCAGGTTAAACTGCAAAGCTGCTGAACTTGCTGACTGAAAGATTGGCAGTTCAAATCCGGGGAGTGGGATGAGCTCCCGCTGTTAAGCCCAGCTTCGACCAACCTAGCAGTTCGAAAACATGCAAATATGAGTAGATCAATAGGTATCACTTCTGCGGGAAGGTAATGGCGCTCTATGCAGTCATCTTGGTCACATGACCTAGGAGGTGTCTATGGACAACGCCGGCTCTTTGGCTTAGAAATGGAGATGAGCACCACCTTCCAGAGTTGGACTTAATGTCAGGAAAACCTTTACCTTAGATATTCTCTAACTTTTGTGGCATATTGTTCTCTATCCACCAGATATGGATGTATCTGACTGAGGTACTTAGGCCATCTCCATAGACTCCATATCTTATCTCCCTCTCATCAGTCGTCTGGAAGGTGGTGGAAGGGATTTTGCAGTGGCAACACTGAGAATATAGAGTTTGTTCCCTGGTCAAGCCACTGCTGTCATTTCAAGTGAAGACAATTTAATTTCAGAAAGCATTCAGGGTTTGTCTTCCAGGATCCCTAAGAACTCTAGGGTTCTGCAAGATGTCACTTTGGGTTCCATGAGAGATCATAATGGGAGAAAAACAAATATTTTAGGGGGCTATCGATACTATAAGTTTTATCCAGGTCTTCTGAGAGCTGAACATTATTTTAAGGATTACTCCAAAAATAAAAAAAGACTGAGAAAGTTTTTTTCTTTCTGAATAGCAGTAACTATTTTTAACAACTATTACCTCAAACACAGACCCGAGTTTACAGTAGCTTCTGTCCACCTTACAGAAAGTGGACAGAAGCACCTTTCGTATATCAAATATAAATATGTAATGGTAGCTGCACCTATGCCCTTGAATATTGGATTAACTAAAGTCATGCAACCAACTCCATGATGTCAGTAATTACATTCACATTTAGTAACAGGGTGAGCATCCCCCATCTGGAATGCTTGGGACCAGAAGTCCCTTGGATTTGGAATTTTGCACGTTTTGGAATATCTGTATTTGCAGATATGTATAGAATGGTGTATCTTAACAATGGGAACCTTGTCTAAACAAAGGAATTCATTTATGTGTCATATACACCACTGTATATGTAGCCAGAGAGTAAATTTATACAATATCCATTCTACTTTGTGCATGAAATAAAGTTTGTGCATAGTGAGCCATCAAAAAGCAAAGGTGTTGCTATCTCAGCCACCCTGCGGACAATTTTAGATTTTGGCATTCCTGATTAGAGATGCTCAACCTATGTTGGAAAAATCTTCCATACAACTGCTTTAAACAGAATGGGCTATAGAATTTGTTTCATATATCAGTCCTTTGCAAGCCCTATTAGAGTGATGAGAAGCAAAGCAAAGGTAGTTAATGGATTAAATTGCAGTTCCAAAATCAAGGAAACACGCTATTCAGAATATCACAAGCACTTTGTTCCAATTTTTTAGCAGCATAAAAAAGAATAATCTGGGAACCAAAGTTGTTTCACATTTTTTTTAAAAAAATGGATTTGTTGTTTCCTAGATAGCATCACTATAGAAATGTATCATCTAAAAGTCTTTCAAATAGGTATCTTAACACTCACTGGACATTTTTAAGAGCATGTCATCTCAACTAATTGACAAAGTGGATGTGGGAACCTTCCAGTAGTCCAGGCTAGGAACCGGTCAGACTCCTTCACCTGGGACCACATTAAGCAGATCTCTCTTTCCACTGAAGCCCAGCATATAGACTCCCGGGCCTCCAGTTCTAGAGTTGTTGGTCGGGTACAGTGTCTGCCATAAATAACATGTACACAGAGGCAAATAGGAAAAATTCACCCAGGAATTTTGCTCAATATAAAGAGAGAGAACCTGTAACACTTGGGAAGGTAAGAGCTGCAAAAGAGAGGGAAGCACAAAATTGGAATTTGAGTGCTCTGCTTGGAGAGATTGTGGTGACGAAGGACTCAATCTATAGGCACACTTTCTGGTGAAAAGTGAGGAAGATAATTTGGAAATGCAACAGTCTAATAAACCAGAATCATTATTTTGGGGATATTAAAATATCATACATAGCAAAAAAATGATGCTTTATTATTTGTACATTTGACTTCTTCTCATACAGACATTAGTAGTTACATTTCTAGTTTTTGCTTGAGCAAAAGTCATTCAAACCATTTCATAGGAGAGGTCCGCCATTTACACTTAGAAGGCACTGTAGCCATCGTGAGCAAAATCAGCATGATTACACATGCAATTCACTGGGGAATGTACTTGCATATGCTTCCTAAAGTGACGGATATGGGCTAGGACAAGTCTTGTTTGCTTCAGTACAAGCTTATGTAGGAAGTATTCCTCTGGACTATGCCCAACAGCCCAGGAAAAGATGTAGGAAGCATCGAATTTTGTTGGCACAATTTCTGCAGCTCTCCCTCTTCTTCAGTGTTGCAGGTTAACAGATTTAAGCTTTAAAATCATTGTTTTGACTGGAAATTTCAACAAGGTAATAAAAATTTTCCATACCTTAATACTAACACTACAGTTCTTTCACTATTTAAACTAATAAACAAGATGCTAAAATGAGCACATGATACACCAAACTGCAATTTTTGGGAATAGGTAATTATTGAGATTGTGGAAGTTTTTTGAAATATGAGTTTGTGTTTTGCTTACAATAATGTAGACTGGGTATGCATATATGCCTCCTTTTCTATTACAGTGTTTATTCGATTAAGAGGCTGAACAAACCACATCCCTTTTCATGTGTAGATGCAAAGTTTGTCAAGGAAGTGGTTTTATTTTCCTGATAATCGTATTACGTGCAGAGTTTGCCATTTCAACCTTTAATCTGCTAATTGATGAAGCCCAAATAAATAATACTAAGATTATTTGGAAAGGGGTTAAGGTGTGTCTGGATGTTTTTGGATTTGTGGTCCTAAAATCTTTTCTCATTGGCCAGAAGTCCAAAATATCTGGAGAGCCATAGGTTCTTCGTTCCTGATATACAAAATTGTAACAATGGAATCCATTCTAAGCATGTTGACCCATAACTAGACATTAGATTCAATATGACATGGTTTTTAAATATGAGTCCCCCTAGGGGTGAGAAAAGTGGTATATAAATACTGTAAATAAATAAATAAAATACAAATAATTGGAAAGTGTGCAGTTACTGGTCGTGTGCATTCAGACCAAAAGGCATACTGTTTTCGGGTCCATTTTCGTTTGATCCCTCATTTTGTTTATCTCTTTCTCTTCCCCTTTCTGTCTTCGAAAATTACACGAAAATGGCCCTCCAAAACGACAAATCTTTTCATTACCAGTGATTCGGGCTCAACTCTAGCAGTTACTCTGCTTTGCCTCAAGTCCTTCATTTGTGATATGCACTTTTCTATCTGAGACAGTGTATTTTTTAGTTGTTACAATAATTTCTCTATCTAAAAGCTACTCTAACTTTCAGATGCTGAGTAGATTAGGCATTGGGCTTGCATGCATGTTATATTTTATGAGAAAGAAGACGCAAAGGACCACGAGATGAGCATATCAAGCATATCTATACTATCTAACATTTTCTGCACTGGTCTGCGGTGAGTCTCTAGCTTTTCAGATAAGTGTTTTTCCCAAGTAAAGCATGTGGTGCCACTATAATACTAAGATGTAAACTGAGTTATGGTTAGGTTGCCTCCTTCAATATAAATCAAATGCCTAATACATATTTCACACAACTTGATTTACACTGGTTGGTGCTTATGGACATGATAGGCCAAAACAACTGGATAATACCAGGTCACTTACTTCTAAATTTATATGCTTGAACCTTAAAGCAAGTACCACTAAATTTGAGGAGCTTTAATTCTATATTATGCATAGCTTGACACTTTAATGTACACATGTTAGCCAACTGCTTTTAAAGACTTATCAGCAATCATTCTACAAATAATATATTTTTAAGAATCCAATTCTTCCAAATGCAGAATAATCTTCGAGGTTTAGGATAAAATGTTTGCATGTATTTGATAACTTCAGAATGTTTATATTAATAATTTTCTAGAAAACATAACTCCATAAGAATGTACAATTTTTTTCTAATATTTCAAATTAGTTTTGTTGACATTGTTTTCCATTACTCTGGCCAAACTCCTGTTGATTATTATAAAACAGTTTTTAGCAAGTCCTCATATATTACCAGGGTCCCCAATCCCTCCCCATAAGAAGCAACATTAGTGAAATACTACTGGATGCCACACAGGGAGGGAATTTCCTCCTGACATTGCAGAACTGAAACAGTTTATACTTACCATTGGCAGACAATTCAGCATGTTTCTGATATGCTTTGTCTATTTCTAAAAAAGCTCTCATCAATACTAATTCCATATTCTTCTCCTCAGCGAGAAATTCTCTGGAGAAAAATAGAAAAAAAGGCAGTGACAATACAGGCATTATCTCAAAGAAAAACAACACCAAATTTTAATTCTCAGAATCACATGATCTAGAGCAGTGATGGGCAACCTTTTGAACTTGGTGTGTCAAAATTTCCAAAAACCTGCGCATATCTTGGGTGGGGTGTCAACTTTGAGAAAAAAACAACAACATAATTTTGCAATATTTATAGTTTAAATAAGAAAAATGTATATTCTATGCTGAGTTATGGAGTGAACAATGCTCAAACGTGCAGATGTTAAATTTGTAGAGCCTTTAACAAATTTAAGGATGGAATTAGATTGGATCTTATAAGGTGTACTTCTCTGTATACGGCCGCATGTGGCCGCGTGTCATCAAAAACAGCCATGCGTGTCAGTGCTGACACACGTGTCATAGGTTCACCATCACGGATCTAGAGGAAGAACCTCACTAGCCACTGAGAAACACTGCTGGTTGAACTGTGTATGGACTCTGCTTGAAAGAAAACCTGCCAAAAACTTTGGCTATCAACTTTGATTATTGATTTAAATGTTATAGATCCTCCCTCAAATTACTATAAGTCTAGACAATGTAGATTTCAAAAAAATTAAAGAACTAGTTATTAATATATTTATTATATCTTTTAACATTGGTTATACATATACTGTAGACATTTTTATTTTTATCCTACTGTTTTTATTGGGTTTTTTTTAGTTAGGTCTTATACCTCCTCTTTGTTGGAAATAGCAACCTTCTTCAAGCCTCCACTAGTAATTTGTTTTGTATATGATTCTGTTTGCTTACTGTATTGCATATGTATGTTTGGTATGCAGCTCTCCCTTTGCTCTATGTTTCTTGAGGTTGTGGGAGGGGCTGCAAACCACATGATCAGCTCTGGGACTGCTGAGAGCTCAAAGTCCATTTTAGAACACTGAAATACCATGAGACTTTTGGACTGTTAAGAGCAAACTCATGTTTTTGTTGATTATAAGAAAGATGCCCTGTGTTATCTGCACAGAGAAACTACTTCAAACCTATCAGAAACTGGATTGACAAGTTGTGTACCAGTATGCTGAATACATGAAGGTTATGAGTAAACCAGATATATTGTTTTTAACAAAGTCTACTTTATTTTTGTCTCGAGAGCATGAGAGAACAAGATGTTTTATGAGAGAGTAGATTTGGGGAGGGGAGGGAACTGAAAGGAACACTTCTGAAGAATGACTATATTTTATACATTGACTATATTTTATAATCTCTGCTCCTAACAGATCAGAGACAACCAGGTCATCAGTCTAACAGCTGAAAGCCAAATTGCCTTACATAAGTACATGTGGATATATAGCACTGAAGAGAAGATGCATGATACTCAAACGAGTTTTTGGCTCTTCTCTGGAAGATCATACTTTTACAAAACGCTATGATTTTCAAATGGTTGTGAATCTCATTTTTCTCCAAAAGGTTATGGAGATCCTGGTTTTCCAAAAGGTTAGGATCTCTAAAACATCATGCCTTTCCCAAACACTTTTTGTTGTTCTTTATCTTAAATATACCCATCTCTTAAAAGCTTATTTTTTAAGGTCATTCATCCTGGACCATGTTATCACCCCTTTTCTTTCTTCCATAAAAGAGTCAAACAGAAAACAAACAAATAAATATAATTACCGGATATATTTTTGCATGTACTTATTGCAGAAGTCAGCTACCGCCACCCCACCATGTCCGTCATAAACTGCAAAGTACAGGACATCATCAGTCAGCTGAGCGTAATCAAAGCGGTCTTCATTTTCTTTCCGCTTTCCAATATGGCTGGCACAGCCCACATTTGACAGACTGATCTTTGGGATTGGCTTTCCATATTTTATGCTTGGCGGTAGAAGGATGGGCTCGTCTATGCGGTTGTCCCAGATACCAAATGAGTCCCAAGTGGCAGGACGGCCACTACCATCCAAGTCAAAACGGGAGGTTCTGCGTTCACTTGTTGAACTCTGGCACACAATGGCCACACATTTCTCGTCTTGCAAAATACGGGACGTTAACAGCGCTCTTCTTGCTTGGTGGCCTCCGGTTCTAACCAGATTTATTAAAGCAGCAGTGGACATAACTTGGTTCCACGGATGATGATGGAGAACGGAACAGTGGAAAGCAAGTCTTGGAATGTCCGGAATACTAAGAGAGCTGGCAAGAAAAGGGGAAAGAAAACATGAAGTTAACAGCTAACTCTGGAAGATTTCAGAGAATGCTTTGTCTCATGCTCAACTGAACTTGTCCAGCTGCATTTAAGATGAACATGAGACATCAGAATGATAACTGGAAAACACCATTTTAGACTGCTTTAGAACTATAGTTCCCAAGACACATAATAGCTCCATTTATTTCACACTAGTTAGACCTCTTCTGAAATATGTTCATACACACACAGAGTTTTTTTCCTTGTTGATAGTAATGAATTTAATGTGTGTCTTACAATCGAAGAATATGAATGCTGTCTAGCTGTAAATTGGTAGAGAAAGGACAGAGAACCCTTCTGCTTTTGCAGTGGCCCACTTCATATTTGTTTTTAGTGTAAAGGAGGTGAGCTTCTTCCATAAGCAGACGTCTATGCTTAGGACACACTGCACTGTTACTAGGACAATGCTTAAATACTAGTCTGACCTTACCCAGGAGTGTTAGGACTTATATTTAGCAACTGTGGTCACGGTGGCTTCATACCTACAACTAGAATGCAGAAATGCTACTACTGCTGATCAGACACAATATATGTAAGATAAGGTTACCTCTTTTGTCTTATTTCAAGAGAAAATGGATCCTGTCTTTATGGTGCTTACACACACAGAGAGTGGAATTTTCCTGTGGCTGAAAACAATGCTTAATTGTAAATGTGTGTAGCCACCGGTGAGTGATGTGGAATATTTTTTTTGAGGCTACATAAGCAGAGATGAAAAAAGTAGAGCAATGACCTTGGCTTAAGTGTTTGCCCAAAGCTATCAAGCATTACAAATGGAAATTCTTCTGAACATGGAAGTCTGCTATGCATTCCACAAGTAGATAATTAGAACCACCCCTCCAAGGCTCAAAAACATTAAGCATTAAACTACTTAGAAAACTTTGTAAGCTGCATAAGAGCTCAATTTCTCACAGAGGGGGCGAAGGCAACAAAACTACTGTTTTTTTGTTTCTCTGCTCTCGCTAGCCAAAAATACTGTAGATTTCAATATAAACTGGAGAATTTCCAGATAAATATATAGGATAAATGTAGGTTTCTTCTTCCACAACATTCAATTATTCACTCTTATCCAATACTTAGAAAAACAAAAAAAAGGTGGCCTTCCTGAAATTCAGGAAGCTATTTATAGTTGCAAGCTTCTGTTCTTCAAGAACACATTTACATTCACAATACTGATCCGCACAGGCTCATGACTCACAAAAATCTAAATCCGCACAAATCCAGGCACAGGATTTATGTGCATAGTCAGAAAAATCAGTTCCACGCAGCTGCAATGTTTGCATTTAAACATTGTGAAAGGAAAGACAAGAAAAGTGTAATGCCTCCTTGGTACATTGATCCAGCAATGCACTGCAAAATTTTGTTGCTGTTATTCGCAATTAAAACGGCTTTCACTTATGGAAGCCCTGTAAATAAACACTTTTAAAATATCCAGCTAGTAACAAGCCCTCCTCAGTTCTGGAAAACAAAAAGCCATCTGTAACATGAACTGCCATATTAAAATGATAATTGAGAGGGGAATATAGTCACATAAGAAAATAAGAATCTTTATGGATAAGACAACAGGTCTACTTAGTACAAAATACCAGTGTGGTCAGGCAGGACATGAGTGCAGTAACATTAATATTACACAGCAATTGATATTTAGAGGGATACTGCCTCTGGCACTGGCAGGAAATAGAGCTATCATGCCTAGTAAGCACTGACAGCCTTATCTGCCATTATCTGTTATTTTTCCTTTTGAAGCTGCTCAAGTCACCTTATTTCATGTCCTGTGCGGAGGACTTCCTTGTGTGTGCCACAAATCTACTACCATTTAACCACACTGGATGACTCCAGTAAAAAAAAATATTATCAGAAAAGGAGAAAACAATCCAAACTACTTTTCCTGCACTATTGCACAAGATTATATTCCTTCACTGTGTCTGCCTTGCTAGCATTTTCCATACTATATCTCAATTCAAAGAGGCTCCGCATTATCATGCATAGTACGAAGAGATGGGATTGTGAATTCGCTCTCAAACTACATCCTGTAAAGTCTTACAAGCAACACAAAAGAGATAAGTATCAGATATGGTGCTTACAAAGTGTCACCAAGGGTCACCTAAAGCAAATATGCAGCAAGCTATCTTTTTTCTAAAAGGACTTAACTTTGATAAGCTTTCTTCAGGAACAATCAAGACCTGAAATTTTGCTGTCCTTTATCAGTGGCTTCGACTTCATCCTTGAATGTCTCCTCTTTTCAAAACAAATATGCGGTCTTGCAGTGAAAGCAGCACTAAAGTTTCCACTTTTGGGGCTTATAGCATCTAGGAAACATATCTGAACCATAACTAGCTTTATGTGATTAGCATAGCCCCTCTTTTTCCTTCCATTTTCTCCAGCATCATTATCTTCTCCAAGTTTTCCTGTCTTCTCATTATATGGCCAAAGTACTTCATCTTTGCCTCTAATATCCTTCCCTCCAGTAGGCAGCCAGGCATTATTTCCTGGAGTATGGACAGGTTTGATCTTTTTGCGGTCCAAGGCACTCTCAATATTTTCCTCCAACACCACAGTTCAAAAGCTTCTATCTTTCTTCGCTCAGCCTTTCTCATGGTCCAGCTCTCACATCTATAGGTGACTACGGCAAATACCATTGCTTTAACTACACAGATCTTTGTTGCCAGTGTAATGTCTCTACTCTTCACTATTTTATTGTGATTGGTCATTTTTCTTCCAAGAAGTAGAAATCTTCTGATTTCTTGGCTGCTGTCTGCATCTACAGTAATTTTCATGCCTAGAAATACACTTATTTCTTCAAATAAATGAATGCCACTGGTGCAAGACCACAATTTGTTTACATCATTGTTTGTGGACTAAGACAACTGGACTGAAGTCTTTTGCTCAACTATTAAGTATGCTGACTTGAAACACTCAACAAGAACACCTGCTCGACCTCTAACAGCAAAATAATTTGGGCCAAGCTTAAGAAAATAATGCAGTTCATTCTTAAGTAACTGCTGCAACCCTATTCATACTATAAAAAAAACCCCACAATGATAAGTTTCCTTTATGCATAAGAGATGCCCCTATTTGACAGTGGTAATGAGAGAGACATGATTTTAAGTGGGATTTTCTAATGACTGTAAATCCCACATGTCCTGATTTGCTAGAGGCCTTTGTTTGCAAAACTGCTGATGCTTAGAAAAAGCTGCAAGAAGTGAGATGATTACACTGTGTCCTCAAGGATAAAGGAACACTAATAATAATAATAATCATCATCATCTCTGCAAGGAAGCAGGCAAAATGATAGCTCACATCCTCAGCTGCTACAAGAAGACTGTGCAGACAGACTACAAGCAGAGGCATAGTACCATTGCTCAGATGACCCATTGGAACTTGTGCCACAAATACCATTTACCTGTGTCAAAGAATTGGTGGGATCACATGCCTGAAAAAGCTGCAGAAAATAAAAACGTCAAACTACTCAGGGGTTTCCGACTTCCGCCTGCCATTTGGAGTACAATACTCCTGACCTCACAATTGTGTTAAAAAACAAAGTATGGATCATCAATGTTGCAATCCCAGGCAATGGAAGGATTGAAGAGAAACAACTAGAAAAGCTGACACGATACGAGGATTTAAAGACTGAATGGCAAAGACTCTGGCACAAGCCAGTAAAGGTGGTCCCAGTGGTGATTAGTACACTAGATGCAGTGCCTAAAGACCTTGGCCTGCACTTAAACACAATCGACATTGACAAAATTACCATCTGCTAGCTGCAGAAGGCCATCCTACTAGGATCTGCACACAGGGGGTCCCAGGGGGTCACGAAGGGGTGTCAATGGGGTCCACAAAGACTACCAGAAAACACAGTATTTTCTGTTGGTTATGTGGATCCTTTGTGTGTTGTATAGGACTAGCAACTTCACAAGCACCCCTCATAGAAAATATTTCCTCTCTTTGAGGACTGGAAAACTAGTCTTTTTGATGCTAAAAACAAATACGCACAAGCCTGTAACAGTAACAAGGTTTTTAAAAACCGTTGTCAGGGTTGGATTATTATATCAATAGCCCGGCTAGAAAGCCGGCCTTGGTGGAAATGAGTCCGTGCTGCTTTAATCCGGCCTTTGCTGGTTGTCCCTATCCTTTTTCCAGAGGGGATTAAACAAGGAGTCTCACTTCTCGATAAGGCATCAGGCGCAAAGGCCAGGCCCGGCCCTCAAGGGAAGGCCTCGGGAAGAAGGCCAAAGGGGGCGAGGAAAGCCAGAGGCGTCTTCTGCGGCCTTCTCATATGAAGGGACAGGCCTCCCTGGCAGGCCTCTTCTTCTTCCTCTCAAAGCCGGCTCCAAAACCCCGCCTCGTTCAGCCCAGCCTTCCTTCAGCTCTGAGGCAAAGCCGGCGCCATTTGCACAAAGCAGGAGAAGCGGGCCTGTCATCAGATCGAGAAGCTTCCCGCCTCACAGCCTTTTCTCCCGCTGCGGCACTCTCTCCTTGATCTCTCTTTGCCATGTTTTTGAGCATTCAAATACACCAAGAAACGAAGACTGCGAGCATACTTAAAAATGAAAAAGAGAAACAATATTATTAAAGCTTGCAGCTTTCTTTGTGTGCATCTACACTGCAGAGCGGATGCAGTCTGGCACCACTTTTAACTGCTATGCAATCCTGGGAACCGTAGCTTTACAAGCCAGAGTGAAGAGAGCTTTTCCAAACTATAACTCCCAGGATTTCAAAGCACTGGCAGTTAAAAGTGGTGTCAAACTGCATCAATTCTACAGCATAGGGGAGAGAGAGAGAGAGGGAGATATATATGTATGTATGTATGTATGTATGTATGTATGTATGTAATGTTCATTTGTGGGATTAACATAACTCAAAACCACTGGGCGAATTGACACCAAATTTGGACACAATACACCTATCCAACCAACAAGTGACCATCACAGCAGAAGAGACATAAAAAGCC